AGTAGTAATAAAAGCTAAAAAATTATTAATAATTTAGGTAGTTAATAGTGCTGATAAAGTAATAAATTAGTAGAAATGCTAATTTAATACTAATAAAATACTTTATTTTGCTTATATTTTGCAAATTTTCAAATTTTCAAATTTTTGTAAAGTAGCCACCCAACTTTTCTTTTACTTACCTTATATAAATTAATTATTCAGGCTAATAAGTATAATAGAGATACTTTTACACTATCAAACATGAATCCAATTGACGTAGATGCAAATGTCTTCAAGTCATGTTGGAATAAATTTAAAAATAGGTATTTTTGTAATATTTCATTTTCTGTATGTTACTATAATTTTTGAATTTACAAGTTTTATTTACAATGTAGTGATCAATTAGAGATATCTCTTCCAGAGACATCTATATTTGTGAAATTTTTGACACTTGATGACATTGAGAGTGTATTTAAGGAGAGTAACATTTTTACTATGGTTTCAGGAAACACAGGAGATGTATTAAAATTCTTTTTATATGCTAAAGAGGTAGAATTACTTTAAATTTCTTCTAATAATTCAACATTTTATTCAGAAATTTAAAAACTCTATACTACAGATGAATTCTCATGCATTGATATTATACAAGCTAAAAATTAATATACATTTAGCATCAGCTAGTATTAATATTAAAACAGGGTACTTGGTACAAGATAAAATTATCATTGATACACAAGAAATATAATTATTTAAATATTTGCAATGTTTTCTTATTATTTAATTACGTGTTTGCAGAATTTAAAAAATTTGATCATGTTTGATAGTTTATCTTTATAACAATAAATTTCTATATTGAAAGAAAATTTTGCCTGAGAGAAAATTCCAGATACTCAATTACCTTAATTTAATTATAGTGTTTATTCGATAATAGAGATTTGACTCATCAACTTATGATTCGAATAACTCGATTCATTTATACAATTTATAACTCACTAATAATTTGTAATAAATTATCCCTTACACCCTCAGGATCTGCAGTAGATCGGATACCCAATTAACTTAATAAATACCAGTAGTTGTTTTAACCCAAAAAATATTATAGTATTTATGCTAAAATTATAGGCAATAAATAATCGATGGGAAATAATAAATCTTCAAACTACATTTGACATTTGCATACTAGTGATACAAATCAAAAATCGATGGATCGATTATATATACAACTTTAGTTATTGTCTATTTAAGTAGTCTGCTGCATAGGTGATTAGACTACTCGATTAGTTCTATATTATGCTGCTATACCTGTAACCTTTCTGTGAGTTACCTATTTAAACACTCTGTTTATTAACCTATACAGATCTAACCTAACGTCACTGAAACACCTAACCACTTAAGCTAGCTTGCTCATTATAGATCTATTTATTCAGAATAGTGTTATGAGCGGTTCTTTATTAATCTGCAAATTTTTAGATAGCAGAAGGTTTTTCACGGTTATTATTCAAGGCACCAGTTTATTTATCAGCAAACAAACAAAACCAAAATCAATAAAATCAAAAATAAAAAAAAAGAAAATATTATTTCTAATAACAAAACTAAAGAAACTAAAAATAATAAAAAAAAATTATAAAGAAATGAAATGCAGGAGTTTGTCTAAGAGAAGACTAAAGATATTAAAATATTGTTTATTGTTAAGAACTAGAAAGCAGTTATTATTTAGAGAAGTTATTATTATTTATCTTGCTTTTGAAACTATTATGATTTTAATTCTATATTATGTCGAATCAAGAGAGAAAAAAGCAGTATTTGAATGGACCAATAGTTATTTTTAGCCACAGTGTTTATGATGTTAAAGGTGGTGTTTGCAGTGCTCTTCACGTAATGTTAAGGTGATATGTATTACTAATTATTGATTAATAATACTTAGAAAATTCTAAAAGGTTCTAGAACATTCCATAAGATTCTAGAAGTTGCCATGTGATTTCAAAATATTCTGAGACATTCTAAAACATTCCATAACATTCTAGACTATTCTATAATTTTCTGTATAATATAATTTAAAAACTATGACTAATTGTTAAAATATTAGATAATTAAATGAATACTTTCTTAGCTTATATTCTTGCAACTCGAAAATATGATCGCCTACATACCTAGAACTTAAATATTATACCTGAAATACATACTGATATTTCTTGTCACTTCTGTTATCCTTCTAAAGCTGCAACAAATCTTGATGATTATATTTGATTTGAAAACTTTTAGATCTGGTTTTCTGTTGAATATCCTGCTCTATACTACACATCACATACTCAGGACTACTTCTAAGCTCTCACTAATAATTTAAACTCTCCAAATACCTGAACTCTCATTACATATTTCCTTCTAAGTATCTATTATTTCAAGAAATCTAAATCTTATAATCAAGTCTAACAGGAAATATACACTGTTCTTATCCTAACAAACAGTTTTAACAATGACCTTTTTGATATAGCTTATAATATAAGTGAAACTGCTGACTCTCAAACAGCTGAATATCAAACTACACAATCAAATTAATCTGACAATAAAAAAAATTTTGGTCTAGAATTACTCTTTAATCAACTAGAACTACAACAATTACTCTCTAATCAACCACAACAAGTAAATATGACTCAACCTAATCAACAAAACTTTCAGGAACTTACTAATACTCTTATCTAATTGATCACTGCTCTGCCTAATACTACTACTACCTTAACTAACAATAATAATGCTATCAATAATTCTCTCAGAAAAGAGGCTCGAGTGATCGATTTATACTACTTTTATAGTAGAAATCAGGATTCTATAACTTGGCTTACTGAATTTAACAAAGCCTGCAATGCTAACAGAATTACTGATAACAATAAGCTCTAAATTGTACCTGCATATCTTAAAGAAGCTACTGCTACTTGGTGAACTGAAAACCAAGCTTTAGTCAACACTAGCTCTAATAGAATCCAATAATAGGATGATGGTAACTCTGCTTATAATACTAACTTCGTCATTAACTTCCTCACTGCCTTTTGTTCTCAAACTCTAGTTGAAATCTAGACTACTGAACTTGAATATCACTAACAATGCCTCGGTGAATCTGTTGATAACTATGCTGCTACTCTCTTGGAATTATATAGGAAGTAGAGCATGGACCTTTTCAATTTCCTGCTTACTTCGAAGCCCATAAATTTGTAAATGAACTCTTATCTGAATTATACATTAATGTCAAATCTCATAATGATGCTATCTGGAATAATGCTATCAACTATGCCAAAAATTATGAATTAACATATCAGAACACCAATACTATAACTTCTTACTTCAATAAATACATGGTACTTGCTTAACAAAATAATCAAATAGATTAACTCATCCAAAGTCTACAAGTCTTGATCCAATAGTTACAACAAATGAATACTAGATCTCGTCATAATCTTAGAAATAATAATAATTATCAACAACCTCAAGCTAATCAATCTCAATCTTACCAACCTAGATCTCAACCTCAAAGGCCAAATAATTTTGTTTGCTATTAATGTGGACAACCAAAACATACTCATAGGACCTGTTCTCAAGTTCAAAATATGAACTATCAAAATATTGTATCTCCTATTGCTAATCCTGTGAACCTTATAAATTCTATACCAAATAATTAGCAACCTGCTCAACCTAAACAAGCTCCACAAGTCAACCAACTCTTGCAACTTCTTACTCAACTTGTACCTAATAATCCTGTACAGCAATTTCAACCTCAACCTATAATTCAACCTCAGGTACAAGCACTGTCTATTAATTAGCAACAACAATAACAGCAAGCCTAACCTCACTATCTAATGCAGCAAATCTAGATACAACCTCAAGTTCAACTATAGCAACAAGCTCAACAATAACAATAACAGCAACAATATTTAAACTAGAAGGCATACTTCATGAGAGTAAGTGTACAGCCTAACCTACAATTCCTTCTAATATAATAACTCTGGAAATATACCTTGCAAAAAGACAATGTGTTGAACAAGGTGAATAGACTGATGACCCAAATAAAAACGAAATAACCAAGGATGTTAAACAAAAAAGAAAAGCAGTAAAAAGAAAACTAGCAGCTATACTACTTGTAAACTAAATGATTACATTCTATACCTTCTAACAATTCTTCGACCAACCTACAAATATAACAAATAGACAATTATTAGTAATAAACTCTAAATTTAGTAGAGCTATGACTAAAAAGCTTAGAAAGCCTATAACTAAAAAAGTATCTGCAACTGAAAATACTGATAAAAAGGATACTAAGGACCTCTTTGATAGTATAAATCATGAAAAAACACTTAAATAGCCAATTGTCTCAACCCTTGATGATAGTGACCTTGAGTTTATAGAACATGATGATAAACAACCTAGTAGAAGTTTAATTGACACAAATTTAAACAAAGCAATAGAGGAAAAGTCTACCTCTTTATATTGTGATACCACTATTAAACATATTAAATTCTCTCTCATCATTGACTCTAGATCAGCTGGAAGTATAATGTCTCTAAACTTATTAAAGGACCTAGATATGAAAATAACTCAAGCCTCTAGAATAGTAATGATTAATGTAAATAGTGAATGTCATTGACCTCTAGGAGCAGTCTCTGATATCCTTTTGGAAATAGGTGGTCAAATAATCCCCTTTGATGCCATAATTACTGAGTCTAATTCCTATAGTACTATTGTAGAAAATGACTAATTAAGAAAACAAAAGTAAATATAAATTACAAGGATAATACTATGACTATCTACTGGAATAACAAAGTAATCACTGTTAAAATTGAATCATAACAACTTCCTTACTATAAAATTAGCATTGAAGTCTCTGAAATACAAAAGGATAAACTAATAGTAGAAGATGAAATAGTGGAATCAGATGATAAGGAAGAATATGAAGAGGATTTTGATTTTAGTAAAAGTCTATTTTGCTATGCTGAGGAGGAAGCTATAAAAATTTAACAGGAAATCTATAAACAAGTCTATACCAAATTCAACACTGAGCTATATTATAACGAATCTAAGCTAAAGTCTAAGGATAAACCAAAGGAACTAGATAAAGAAAAATATAACATAGGTGAATTGAAACTCTAGAATAAACAAATATTTTTGGAATTCATGAAAGGATATGATGACTTATTTGTTTGAGAATCTTATAAATTTAGAAGGACTAAAACTATAACTCATACTATCTCTACAGATGCAACCCCTATTAAACAAAACTTCTACTATACCTCATATAAAAATCAGTAATTCATTAAGAAGGAAATTTAAGAAATGTTCAAGTATAATTTAATTGTACCTAGCAAAAGCCCTTGGACCTCTCCAGTTGTAATAGTTGATAAAAAAAATGGAAAACAATGATTCTGTGTGGACATCATAAATTGAATGCTGTAACTAAAAAGGATAATTATCTTCTCACTCGAATTGATAATCTACTAGAAGCTTTAGCATACTCTAAATAGTTCACTAGTTTGAATATAGCTAGTGGATATTGGCAAATACCTATAGAACTCTAGGAC